CATATAAGCGTTGTTTGATAAAAGAATCACCCTGTATAATTTAATAATTCATGTAGGTATTTACATATTAATTAGGTTATAAATTATGTATCCGGGATTTAAATGCATTAAAAACCACCACACAGCAACATCCAATATAGGYATAAGACGTCATTTTATATATTATGAAATTTTTTTAAGTTGGACAAGAGTTTTTACATTTTGAACGTACCTACATATCATAAAAGTGTCCAGTTTCCATTTCATTTTCAAAAACGTTGAACCCCCTCGAAATTATATAAAATAAAAAACTATCGCTTTGTAGTTATACCTACGCTTACAAGAGTACCTACCTACCTATCTCGGTTTCGTATGTCGTGAATTTGATTAACTAGCACTTGTTATGTTTTTTTTAATGTGGTTTAAGTTTCTTACTTTGTAAACTTTTCAAATTTTTCTAAAAACAATCCCTGAGATGTTCGTAAAAATCAACTAAGTATACAAGTAACAAATATAAATTACTTACGTATTATAAAATATATTAAAATATCAATTGTATCTATTAGGTACCTATAGTAAATTACTATACAAATGGTATAGGTAAATAAATAGTAATACTCGTAAATATAATGTCATATAATAAATAATAATAAATTAATAATCTCAAAAATCTTACTGTTTTTTTGAAGCGTTTGACCCTTTAAAATTTGTATTCTTATAGTCCATCATGTAATTTCCTATCGGCTATCAAAAATTACATCGAAATAACTTCTCCTAACTTGGTTGGGTTACTGGATTAAGTTATGCGGTCAATTTAATTTATATTTAATTCATCAATCAAAGATAATAGTTAATTTATTAGGTAACAGTTAAGACTATTATTTAAATTATAATATAATTTAGTGTTTACTGTTTAATGTACAATAGTTTCAACAGGCTTGGTATAGGCATCTATTTAATATATTCAACGCTAAAAGGATTTGAATCAAGTAATTTACAATGCTAAGTACTGATGATATTAAAATAATGTCAATGATCACTGATCAATGCTATATATATATATATATTATTTTTAATAATAATATGTAAATATTCAATTGCGTATCGTGTAATGTGATTATGTGGGTAATCGCCTCACCAATAAATCGAAATAGATTATTTCATAAAAAATTATTGTTCGTAAAATTTTCGTTTTCGTCACAACTCTTGTCGTTTTTTATCATGTTTTTAAACAGTGCTGTAAGAATAGTATGATGCTACCATAGATAATATTCTTTATTATCTATGGGTGTCTTAACTCTTAATACAACAGACTGCTATAACCGTAAATAATTAGTTTATTATTTACTTGACTCACAAGCACAGAATAATATAGCAATTTACAAGTCACATAGATATTTATATTACTATTTGTGATTGTCTGCTTGACAATGTCGTGTATAATATACACCATAGACCGGCCCTGTTCACGTTTCAACCGTGTCAAAATAGGTGGCGCTTTTCGGTTACCGGTTACTGAGTAACCTGATACGCCGATACGGTACAATCGTACCGTATATATTTATGTATTATATATAATTTAATGTCATATATATATATATAAAACAGGTTGTATCACTGTGCCGTGGCGGAATGCGACTATCAATATAATATTTGGTAACGGATACTGGATAGGCCGGTCTATGAGTAAATGTATTGATACACACTGACTATAATTTATTATTATGAATAATATATAATATTTCTGTGTGTATCAGAGTATTAATTTTATAATATACAATAAACATTATCTTCTATGGTTATCATTTTATGTCTTGTGACGACCTTATCTGCCGCTCATTAGTCGATTTTTCCCGCGTCGCTGCAATACTGACGGCCGACTACAACAGTCGGCACTCGATACCCACCAAACGAATAGRAACTACGTTGCGCCGCCGCAAACACAATAGTCATAGTGAGCAACAGCGAGCGCGCGCGCGCATGGTTTCTATCGTCTATCGATCGTGTCTTGGCTCCGTGCGGTTATCACCGTCCCGTTTGGGTCCGAGTACCGCGAATCCTTCATTCGTCGGAAAGCGCTCAATTTACACAATCACTGTGGCGTCGTTGGATCTAGCAACACGTCCGGTCCATCAGTCGTCGGAACGATTCCAGCCGCAATAACTAGTAACTACCGGCGTACCGTCTACACGCACGTACGGTCAGCTCTAATCGGTAGCCGGGTTGCCGCTGGCCGCAATGCTCTTCGCACTGGCCAAAACGCAGGGTGATCGCCCAACGACGATCACCACAGCCGCGATGTCGGACAACAGCCCTCGGACGTCGGCCGTCCTTGCGCCCTCTGTGTTCCTGCCACACGCCGAGCCGTCCACGTCCCAGGGCGTCGGCGCCGCCCGCACAGACACATCGACAGCCTCTGATGCCGGCGACCACACCAACGGAGCCGGTAGTGTCGGTGAATCTCGGGTCACAAAGGATGACGACGACGACGACGACGACATGTCGTCAGAAGACGAATACGCAAGGTCCGGGTCTACATTCACTGTTGCGTTGGGCACGTACTCTTTTGAGAGGAACTTGATCGTGAGTATGCCTTCAACACTTGCCTAAGTTAAGCGGCTGATGGCTTGGTGGGGTGGGGCGGGACGTAGGGTGTTGCTTTCTTTCATCATCTCTTCGGCTTACTCCACTGTTTCCATTAGARTGCCGGCATCTGGTGTACCTACGACATATCTGTATTATATTTATTGACATTACGATTTTTGATGATAATCGGTTTGATACGTATAGAAAAATAGTTCAACCATAGAGCATCCATAGGAAACAGTGCAACGTTACAGATGTCAGTTAGGTACCTCTACCGTAGAAGTTCTATACATGGACCAAGATTACATATTTTTTAGAATTTTAGTGTCTGCACAGCAGTTTCTATCAATAGATTAAGGCTGATACATTTTTTATCGTCCCCATAAAACTTAGATTATAGCCGCGCTTAATTTAATTCACTATTTTAAAGTTTAGTTATTTATTTTTAAGTTTCAAAAAGTAGGTAGTATGCCATTTATGTTATGTTAATTGATGCAAGAACATGATACCTATATTATTTTTTGATATGTGTATCTAGTTTTTAATTATAAGACAAAAACCTAAAATTATTAAAATTCAAAAGTTATAGGTAGACTTATAAATCTAGTACAGTTTATTAGGTAATCATAAATTGATTTATAGAATCACTTAATTAATTATTATTACCTATTATTATTTTATGTTGGTAGCTGGTAGGTATTATGAAGTTTTTTTTATCAAATTTATTAATTGTTATTAACCCGTCACCGGTATCGCTATATACTGTTACATGATTGGTATCGTGTTAGCGTTACGCTAACATTATCGTTTTTTCGGTTCTGTGAATTATTTGTTGAACTTGGAATAGTGAAACAAAGATAAAAATATTTGTCTAGTTTTATCCCACAATAATTATATTGTTTAATAGCAAAATTAATAATAATATTTATTTATTAATAGCCAATTTCAATCAAATTGTTGATATATAAATAAAAAACCATCATTTAAAAAAAAAAAAAAAACATTATATAAAAAATTAACCAAATCACTTTTTTGTAACAAAATCTATTAAAAACTTAATTTTTGGTAGAAGAAAAAAGATATTAGGTATATAAAAATTAAACAAATCACTTTTTTGTAACAAAATCTATTAAAATAAAAACAATTTTAAAATTATAACTCATCGTTAGAAGTTTCCGAGTTTTCTTTCACGGTGTTGCATGTCGGACAAGTAGGAGTAGTATGTTCTTTACATATATACACACCACATAACGAACAACTGACCTATAAAATATAATATAAAAATAATATAATGTATAAATAACCAATAAATATCTTYATAATGTTACCTTTGTAAAGCGATTTTTTCTTATTGGACAAAAATTACATCTGATTCGTYGATCACTTGTCGAAACATCTGGATTCKGACTTTCTTTATTATTTTGTGAAGTACATCCAGTCATTTTTATTATTTGTTGTCGAAGGAGAAATGATAAACATGGCTGTTCAAGACGTTTTACCATGTAAGGTTTAGTGAGCTCTTGTCCCAAAGTTTTTAAATATTCTCGACGAGTTATCATTTTACCTGTATTTTCACGGTATATAATTTGACTGTTTATCCCAGCAATATTCATCAATGAAAAAAAAATAGTTAGGGGCCATCGACAACTAATTCTTGCCACCGAATACTCGCCTTTCATTTCGTCTACTACATCCACTCCACCTTTAGTACCATTATAGTACGTTATAACTTCTGGTTTTTTTTGGTCACCGGATTCCGGGTCAATGATACCTTGATCATGCATACTTGATATTATAATGACATTTTTATTTTTGTTTGGAGTATAAGATGTAAGTAAAAGGTCTTTTCCATATCCAAACAAAGTCGAATTTACCTCTCTTTTTTTTAGTTTCTAAAAAAACCGGAGGAATTTCCCTTTTGTTTTTCCTCAAAGTGCCCACTACGGTAAGATTATGATTTTTTAGTAACTCATTAGCCAATGGAATTGAATTGTACCAATTGTCCATAGTAATATTGCGGCCAGTTTTTGATATCGGCAATATTAGTCGTTTTACAATACTTGACGGAGAATTGTCACATTTGAAAGGGCCATCTGGCTGAGTTCCTACGTAAAMCTCCATATTAGACGTATAAAATTTACGAGAATCAACGAGTGTTTGAATTTTGATACYGTATTTATTTGGCTTATTTGGTATATATTGTCAAAAACTGCAACGCCCTCGAAACCCTTCTAGCATCTCATCTATAGTGCAATTCTCTCCTACAGTATAATTTTCTTTACATCGCCGAACAAAATCATCGAAAACTGTACGAATAGGTGCTAGCTTGTCTATTGCTCTTCTAACGTTCCTTGTTTCAATATCATCAAATCTAACAGCTCGAAGTAATAAGGAAAAACGTTTTTCTGACATGACTGCCCGGA